ACCATTAAAAAAATATAGGAAAACAACCACAGGAAGAAAACAAGTGACACACAAGATATTTATTTAGCACTACAGAAAACAGCTGAGAACAAAAAGAGGAACAAGAAAAGACAGGAAGTATATAGAAATTAAAAAATAAAATAAAGGAAAATAAAGGGTACAAAAATTACAGTCAACATAGCCAACATAGCCTGGGGCCAGCACCATAACCTAGTGATTAAGAGAGCCGGCTCCCACATGGCCTACCTCATTGTGAATCCCAGACCTGGTGGCTTGTTAGGTTCAGGACTGGCCGGTGGCGTGGTGGCTAGAAGTGCTAGACTCCCGCGTGGCTGACTGTGTTCGGGTCTCAGACCTGATGGCTTGTTTTATCACCTTCTTTCTCTCTCACTCTGTCCCTCTTTGGTCAAATTGAAATAAATAAATAAATAAACAAATAAAGTTAAATAAAATAATTCTTTAAAAAGTGTTAAAAAAAAAAAAAAAAAGAAAACACACTAGGTTCATGTGCATATTGTGCATACATGCCCCAGATCCTGACAGGGTGGGGAAATAGTGGAGAAAAGATATTGGCATGACCGTGTCCCTTTTGTGGGGAAGTACTTTCACCCTCTTCTCTCTCTTTTTCTGATGAGCACATCAACCTTTGGCTATTATAATAATAAATACACAAATAAATAAAATAGTCTACACATCTTAAACATAAAATAGAGATTGTGGACTATATACAAAAGCAAAAGCAAAATTGTAAATTTTCTAAGACAAAAATCATAATAAAACTGATTATAATAATATCAAATAAAATGGATATTATAACAAATTTTACCAGTACAGAGGGATATAATGTAACAGTAGAACAGACAATACACTAGAAAGGTGTAATAATTATAAATGTATACATATTTAATAACTGAGTAAAAATATCAATGAAACAACAGAAAAAAATTGAAGGGATAAATAAATAATTAAATAATTATATTTGAAGATTTTAATACCCTACTCTCAACTGATAGAAAATTAGCAAAGGTATATTCAAAATAAAACTTAGGAATAAATCTAACAAGATAATACAAAACCTGACCTTTGCCAACTATAAAATATTACTTGGGAAGTTAAATAAGATTTAACTGAATGAAGAGAATTCATAAAAGATTCTTTATTGCTGAAGGATCACTTGCCATTTTTATATTATCTTTGGTAAGAATAATGTATTTTTCCTAACAAGTATGTCTTTGTTTCTTTCAAAGAATTTTTTTTTTTACTTTTTTCCAGTGCTATTCTTTTTAAATTTATTTTATACATTCATTCAGTATACATCACTACAACTTGTAAAGCGAATTTACCGAACATGAATACACTTCACACCAGTCCTGTTGAATATACTGTACTCGTTATCATCAACAGATAATCATTCATTTTGGTGTCCCATAAAGAAATTTTCAATTCCTTCAAAAGTTTAATAACCTTGAATTTCAATTTTTAAATTATTTTACAAATCACTATTTTTCTTAACTATTACAAGAATTAGTACTAAATGAATAAATTTGGATGCATATTTTTCTAGGATATATTGTTGTTTTGCACTGTAAAATAAAATGATTTTGTTGTACAATAAGAATGAGTTAATATTACCAGTAGTTTCTAAAGTAACATTGCCTACTATCTTTAGTTGAGTTTTAGTAATGACGTGAGCTAGTTGATTTCTCCATTGACTTAAAGACAGATAGTAGTCATTTAGCTCTTGATGACATAGAAGACAAATGGTATCAAAGCAGCTATTTACTGTCTGTAAAATAAACAGCAAGTAGTGATGCCACTAAATTTTAACCAGATTTCATTTTTTAACCTAACAAAATTTCATTAAAAGCAGTCACAATTGTTATCATATTATTAGTGGTTTGTTACACAGTAAAATTAGATTATTCCGTGTAATATTGACATAGATAGAAGTGTAATTATCGGTGGTGACTGTCAGTGGTCATGGTAGTTTGTGTCATGACGAATGAACATATACGACCATTCCAGCAAAACGAAGAACTTTAACGATTGCTTTAATGCTACAGAGGGTTATGTTTTGTTTTATATTAGTTCCACCTTTATATTCAACTTACACTACTTACTTATGCTTTACAGTAAACTCACAGACCAACTGAAGAATTTTTTTTGTTTATTTAGAAAAATAAGTCATTTTATTTCTTGTTCAACTATCTCTCTTTTTTTTTTTTTTTTTTTTGAGAGGTTTTTGCTATAGGGTGCATGCACTTACCAGAAAGACAGAGGCAGAGAGACAGAAAGCAAGAACCCCTCCCCTCCCAGGTGGGCATGGCCATGCTGCAATCCCTTCTCTTCCATTCTTCTCCTAGAATCTTGGGCACGCATGCACACACGCCTGGTGTGAGTTTTAGCCCTGGTTCTGGGACTCGAACCATGGTTGACTACATGGGAGTCCAGTGATGTAGCCATTACGCCATCTACTGGTTCCTCAACTATCAATTTTTTAAATTCTCAAATTATTTTCTCAATCTTTAGTTATAGCAGTGAGATATACATCTATTCCATTTTAAAATAAGACAAATTTTATCATCCTTGGGAAATTTGTCCTAGTAAATCTATAAACCATTGATCTTTGGAGTTAACAGAATTATAATAAAATCATGAAGAAATCTAAAATTAGTTTGGCCTTTTCCATAGTAGATGTGCAGTGCTCAATTTACACATCCTTATTTAACAGCTGCATTGATGATTGGTTTAATTCCTGTATGCCTGATTAACTCAATTTACCTTCTACCTTATGGGAAAGAAAGTATCTTTTTACATAATTGTTAATTTAATTAATTTATTGTTATTATTTTTAAAAATTTGCTATAGGGCACGTGTGTTCACCAGAGAGAGAGAGAGAGAGAGGAAAGTGAGAAAGCAAGATGCCAGGTCCAGAACTCAGAACTCAAACTAGGTCAGCCATATAGAAGCCCAGCCCCTTAGCCACCACACTACCTGCTGGCCTCTTAAAGACAGTCTCTACAGGAGAGCGCTTATATTAAACAACACTTGATTTGTTGTTGTTGTTGTTTGTTTTCTTCTCATATGTTATCATATGTCCATGGTTGAAATAATTCTCTGGGAAGATCTTTGTACGTGGTTTTTTTTTCCATTTTTACTTTTTTTATTATTTTATTTTCATTTTGTTGTGATTACTGGGAAAAATGAGATAGAGCTAATTTTTATATATGTAATACAGGACATAAAAATTCTTTTAAGGCTTACAAATGCTTGGGAAGGGAGACCAGCAGTTAACATAATGGCTATGTCACTGGACTCCCATGTAGTCGACTGTGGTTCGAGTCCCGGACCCAGTGGCTTAAACTCACGCCGGGCGCATGTGCGTGTGTGCCCAAGATCCCAAGAGGAGAATGGAGGAGAAGGGATTGCGGCATGGCCATCCCCACTGGGGGATGATTTCTCGCTTTCTGTCTCTCTGGCGAGCACACGCGCCCTATAGCAAAAACCTCTCCAAAAAAAATAAAAAAATAAAAAACCAAGCCAACAAACAAAAAACCCACAAATGCTTAGGAAAGAAACTTGCAAAAAATACTGAAGTGTTTCTTTGTATCTTAATTAGTTATTATTTTCTTTCATTTTTTAAAATTTAGATATTTGATATGGAGGCCCTGAGTCTGTTTTTAGTTCTGTAACTTTCAAAGTGAGCTTCAGTTATTTAGTCTCTTAACATTATTGGCTTCATTTGTTTCTGTATTTATAAGAAGAAAATAATAATATTGCCAATTTCATGAAGTCATTTTGGTTTTACACACATACACACATTTTCTACTAAAGCACCTGGCATTCAGGTAGTATTTAATAAAGTAATTTCCTTTCTTTTTCAGGGCAGTTTGTTGCCAGTAAGGCAGAAATCCAACATTCAGTGGAAGAAGGGACTGTTCAACTTTTCCTTTGCTGCTCAATAGTTTCAGCTCCACACTTCTTGTGAGTAAAACTATGCAATATATCTTGAGTTTCTTTTTAAAATTTGCTGTTTTTTTTTTTTTTTTTTTTAGCAAAAAGTGGTTCAAAGACAGAAGGGCTCCACTTTATTGAATCACTTGTCATAGAATGTGAAGAACTAGGAGCAAGGGATGACCTGTAACCTAGATATTAAGGGAGTTAGATCTCATGTGTTTAACTGCAATTCAAATCCTGGCCCTGGAAACTTGAAAAAAAAAAAAAAGCCAAGTGTGCTTGTGCGCATGCTCCAAACCCCAACAGATGGAGAAATAGAGAAGGGATTGTGACCAGATCATGCCCCGTGGAAGGTGCTTTCTCCTTTTCCCTTTCTCTCTCTCTCTGTCTCTCCCTTTCTCCCTTATGGAAGAATAAAGAAAAGTAAACAAACAAAAAGAATGTGGAGAACTATCCAATAACTTTGGAAGCAACATTTTAAAGAAACAAGATTCATACATAAATTTAAACATGGGAATATTTTAAAAATAGGCATATTTTAAAGAAACTTCCAGAGGGATCGCAGTTGGTGTAATGGCTATGCTGCTGGACTTCCATGTAGTCGACTATAGTTCGAGTCCTGGACCCGGTGGCTTAAACTCACGCCGGGTACGTGTATGTGCATGCCCAAGATCCTGAGAGGAGAATGGAGGAGAAGGGATTGCAGCGTGGCCATCCCCCCCTGGGGGGGGGGATTTCTCACTTTCTGTGTCTCTGTGTCTCTCTGTCTTTCTGGTGAGCACACATGCCCTATAGCAAAAACCTCTCAAAAAAAAAAAAAAAGAAAGAAAGAAACTTCCAGAAATGAAAAACATATGATATATAATTATTACATTTTAACCATATGTTTCCCCCTCAAGTTTACTGAAGTAAAACTGACAATAATTACATATACTGAAGATGTGTAATGTGATGTTTTGGAAAACCTTGTGAAATGACTACTGCGATCAAATTAGTTAACACGTCCTTTCCCTGACGTGGTTACCACTTTTCTCTGTGCTGAGAGCACTTAAGGTCCACTCTGAGGCCCAGCCTTGGGGCACAGAAAGCAGAGGTACTGTTGTGTGATTCTGGACACCCTGTGGCGAGGTTCAAGGTTCATATCCTGGGACTTCTTCCACATGCCGGGTGCACTGGTTGTCCTGGCTGGCTTCAGACTGAAGACCTGTTGAGTTGCTCTCTCTCGGAACAAGTCAGTAAATTTAAAAAGAAAATCTCATCTCTTAGCAAATTTCAGGTATACAATCCATTGTTATTAATGTGGTAGGTTAGATCTCCAGAACTTACTCATCTTGTAACTGAAAGTTTGTACCCTTTCACCCAAATCCCTCACTCCCCCTCCCTGACCCCTTGGCAACCTCTCTCTGTCTCTGGACTCCTCATGGAAGTGAGAGCATGCCCTCTTTATCTTTCTGTGTCTGGCTTAGATCACTTAATATAATGTCCTGTAGGTTCAGCATTTTTAAATCAGAATACGTCTCCTCCAATGCTAAAGAAAATCCTTCCTAAAGGAAAAAGGCATGCAGTTAAGAAAAATTGCTTTCCTGCTCAAATAGTCTTCATATATTTTCATTTTAATTATCCAAATTTAGATTCTGAGAGTTTCCTGAAAACATACCAGTTTTTCATGCAGAGCCATCTTCTTACCTTTGGAATGTTATTAGAAAAGAGTTTGGATATTTAAAAACACCTGAGATTTTAGACTTCTATACTTATTGATTAAAATCAATGTCTTTGTTGATTACTTTGTTCAGAGGATTCCCTGTCACCTCTCCCCTACATTCCTAGTATGACAGATTTTCCTTTATGACTCCATCTTCTGTTTGAAGATTTTTTTTTTTCTTAAGTCCTGCTCCCTCTGCATGAAAGAGTAGTCTCACTTGGCCTTGAAGATGCTGACTTAGAGAGCGATGGATAAACCATGTATTTCTTCGCTGCTGGCCCGCCGTAATCACTCAACCCAAGTGAGGCAGATAAAGGGTTAGTGTGGCATCCTGGGAATAGCCGTCGCTTTGAAATGTCAAGCTGCAGGCAGTAGAGAGAGCAAGAGGCAGTTCATACAGCTTCTCCCAGTATCTGTTTTCAGAGCGATGGGTAGTAAGATGAGGGGGAAAGTAACACCACCTCATTCCAAGTTTCCTTTTCTCTGATTTTAATTTAAAAGACATGAATGAGACTCGTGATAAGGAAAGGTGCAGGAGTCTCTATTGTGAACGTGTTCATACTGAGCCTACATTATTGTCAAATCGGAAATTCCTTCCAGAGTAAAAGCAGTTTATGTTTAAGTCTTAAAGACAAGAATTGTAAGAATGATGTGGTATAGTGAGAATCACATGGCGTAGAAATCCGTGATTAATCGCGTTATCATATTAATTAAAGTATTATATTACATGAAAGTATGACATGAAAATATTAATTCAATTCAGAATCAATTCAGATCACCAGCTTCATCACAAATCTGATTCTGGACACTTCACAACAATGCTGGCCTGAGGATCCGTTTCTTCCACTGTAGAAATGGGACACTGCCTACTTTGTGGAGATATTGGGGGAGCTGTGTAAGGAAGATCACGTAACAGCACCCAGCATGGTACCTGGCAGTCCAGGCCAGCAGGGAGATCCATGGACGTTCTTGTTTATAATAACATTCCCCTTTAACCACAAAAATGTAATAATAATTGAACTTTGATACTAAGAAACTCAGAATTCAGTGAGGCTTTGAATTAAATACTACCCAGAGGATAGCTAATATCCCCATTCGATCACTTTGAAAAACTGTTAATAAAAACCAAAGTAAAGAAAGATAGTATTCAGTCAAAGAATAATAAGAAAACAAAGAAGGAAACAAAGAAAAAGAAACCAAATCTCTGTCCATGGTCCCGATTCCTAATGCCCCTTCCAAAGTTGGGTGAAGTCAGTAACTGATGTAAGAAAAATTAACCCACATATTGCTGAGACTGAAAACTCAGATTTTCCCAAGTCTAGAAAAATGGTTGTGTATAGATGTTATAGCCGGACATGGAATCACTTCAGTTAGGAGAAAAGATATTTGTAATTGTTATGGAGTGTTGTAGCAATATATATACCTACCTGATAACACTAGTGTTTCCAGGGTGGCTACATAATATAATAGCTCAGTTCAAAATCAGGGAAACAAAAGTGCTGTCAACAAAATGCTAATACACGCTTTTTCCCTTAGAGAGATTTTGTTACCTATAAATGTAATTGGAGCATAACCACACATAAGTAATGACAAAAATACATATTGTAAAAATAATATTTTCATGTCATACTTTCATGTAATATAATACTTTATTAATATGATAACTCAATTAATCATAAGATTTTTCCAGTTTGCATTTCTGAAAATGCATTTACAGTGGCATGAAAATTTAGACTGAACAAATTCGTTTTCAATTCATGTAATTGAACATAATATAATATACTTTTGGTAAATGCTGGATAACAAATACTTTTTGATAATTTTTAACTTTGAAAAAGAACTTTCTAGTGTTGCTACTATTACTAAAACTGCATAGAGTGGTTTTTTTCATTGTTCATTAAAATAATGGGATAATTTCTGGTAGTATTATTTTAAAATATAAATTGTAATACATTTAGAGTTGATTCTCACGGAATAATTTTTCTTAAGAAGATATAAGTCTTCCTATGAATTAGTTTCTTATAATTCTAGATTTAATTTTATGTGTAAATTTATATAATGGCATTTTAATGTTTCTCCTGACATTTCTTAAAACTTTTAGAGGCTGTATAGGAAATTCAAAGTAGTTTCATAATTTATGTATTACTTAAAATGCTTTTTTTATTCTATAGCTGTAATTTTAATTTTGAAGAAAAATCATTTTGAAATTATTTTTCTCATTAATAATTAGTTCATCTGAAGTATCATGTGAAGATAGTACTCTTTTTCATCTTATATAGTAATCTTCAAAATTAATTTCTATTTCTAAGCCTTTAGATATTGCTTTGCAATGCTGCACAGTTTTCCAAACTAGAGATTCTGAATGCTTTGGTGTGTTCTAACTCTTTAATATATTTTATTGCAATATCTGTATGTAAGCTTTTAATTTTATAATAATTTACTGCTTAAACACTGGCTGTTTCTGTCTCTGTGCTCAGACCAGAGTTACTATTTGTGCAGAAGCTGCAGGGTAGGCTTCGGGGACGGCTGTACGAATTAGCATTGGGATTCCAGAACCATGCCAGGCAGTCCCTTCTTGTCTTTCATGGTGGCTATGGCTGCTGCTTCCCACCATCACTGATACCTCCAGTCTGGGCCCAGGTCCTGGTCTGGGTGTTCAGGACCTCATAACTCCCCAGACTACACTAAGTTGACATTTCCATGATGGACGACTCCGCGAATTATTGAGGACTTGCCCTGCCACCTTAGGACTTCACTGCTCAGGTGCAAGGCCAGTAACCTACTGGATTTCACTTGCAAAACAAGTTGAAAGATAAAAATCAATGTTTTCAAGTGACAGCAGAATGTTAAACCAAGCATGGGACCCTCCGAGAGTGGGGCCTTGCGTGCCAGCGCAGGCTGTACGCTCATGAAGTTGATTTGGCATGCATCATGATGTTTTTGTAAAATTTGAAAAAGATTATAGGGAAAGCAGAAATGGCAGATGGCTTATATTGCTACTAGGACTGTTTTGCAACTTCTCATTAAAATAGTTATGAACACACACAGAAATGAAACTTCAAAATACCAGAGGTAATGATGAGTAATCGGAGCCCGTATGACAATTATTTGGGAGGGATAATAATTATTAAGGGGGGGGGTGATGAGCATTTTCTATAAAGTTGCTGCAAAAGGAGATAAATAGAAATAAAAATTATTGTTGCTTTTCCTAGTTTAGGTGTGTGGTCTATATCAAAGAGGACATTATTGAGTGTAAACTGTTGAGGTGGCCTTTCTTGTACTTGCATTGTGTTATTTAGTAATCACTGGTAGAGCCTCCAAAACT